ACAACACCCCCGGAGGACCAGGATCCAACACCCCTGTCCTAGATGTTTCCAGACTGTTACAAACAGAAAGGATGCTTCATAATGTTGTCCAATGTTGTCATCATTCTTTGTTGAAATCAGGTCTCTCTTGTAAATGAGTCCTCGAGGCTCAATGGGATTTACAGTGTACATGTCTAAATAAAGGTTGAATGAATAAAGGAAAACATGGTCCTGGAATACCTTTAAAGAGGCATGTTGCTGCCACCAAGTTCAGAATTATATTATTTTTCATCAGAATGGGAGCTTTGTTTTGTTTTAACCTCTTATATGTTCACTCTGTGAATATCATTTGGTTTTACGAGATTTGCCGATCACAGCATTCAGTTTGTCTTTACGTTTGTGTTGTGATAAATACAGATGTGTTAACAAACATCTGCATGCTCCAAAGCAGCAAAAAGTCCAGTTTTTTTTAGAGGTGGTCCCACTGATGAGAATCAGGTAATGAGTACATTAAATTAGCAGCTCCTGGCTCATAATGAACCTCTGAAGTCCTGCAGACGCAGCGAGGCTGGAACCAGTGTTTTCCTTTGACTGTAGTCGTGTCATCGACTGATGGTCCGCTCACATATTCCACCATAAATTAATGAATGTGCAGCCTGCTCAACTGCTGCTGCTTCTATGTTCTTCTCTTTGTATAGTTTTAGCTGCCCACTCACACTGACACACATCTTCTTATGTAACTGATCTGCAGTCAGTTCTGAGCACACTCAGTGATGATCTGACGAATAAATAGTGAAAATCAGATTCTTCTTTTATGTTTTTATTAAAATTCTTTCAGAGGACGGAGCTGCAGACTCACAGTTAGGTGTTGTGAATGTGGTTACCATGGGAACTCAACACCTACAGCTCCATAGGAACAAGGCTGGTTGCCATAGCAACACTTCCCACACAGAAATCCATCAGAGAACCTGAGCCTGCTCTGCAGCAGGAGGAGGAGGACGATTCACGACGGCAGAGTCCGATCACCAAATGAATCTCGTCAGTCGGACATTCAGACAGTGATTAATCTTCTGGGACTGATCTTGAAGTCTTCCTCACGGCCGTCCTCCTTTGCTTTGCCACAGGTGACCCCACCCCCATGTTCTGATGGTGGTTTCTATTAGCTGTATGACCTCTGATTAGACCGAGTCTAATGAAATCTGTTTCCTGCTAACGAGGTTGCTGATGGTGTTTCCACTGTTAATTAGGCTCATTATAGAGAAGGGCAGTTCTGACTGTCAGGTTTTCTGTCATCTTCATCTCAGTCCAAGCAGTTTTGACCCTGGTAAGGGTTTTTACAGGGGTTCAACAAAGAGTGCACGTCTTGAATCTACAGCGTCTTGAACAGTTTTCACAAACTTACAAGTATTTTACTGAGATTTTGAGACACCAACACAAAGTAGCAGCTAATGTGAAGTGGAAAGAAAATGAAACGTGATTTTCAAAACACCAACGTTCATGCTCAATAATCCAGGTAAAAATCCAACAATGTTCAGTCAGGCTCACTCAGTTTGTTGGTGGTTTCTCAGATTGAAGAAGTCCTTTGGATGAAGGACGAAACATCTCAGCAAAAAAAAGAAACCGTCCAGATGACCTGACTGAACATTGTATGATTTTCAAAACGTTGTGCAAATAAAAATCAGAGAAGTGTAGCAGCTTCATTTGTTTACGCTGATTCCCCGGACTGAAATCCAGAGCAAGCCTTCAGACGTCGCCTCACTAGGTCCACCTGTGTGTGAGTTAAACTCAGTATCAATCCAGGAGTTATTCAAAGGCATTAGAGGTTTGATACGGATCACAAGTCATCAAACATCACCATGAAGACCAAGGACCACAGCAGACCGGTCAGACATAAACTTGTTGACAAGTTTAAAAAAAGGTTTAATTTGAAAACAACATCCAAAGGGTTAAACCTCTCAACGAGCACTCTTCAATTAAACAGTTGAAAATGGAAAACATACGACACAACAGTAAATCCACCAAGATATGGACAACCACCCGAACTGACAACAAGGAGAACATTGAGGAGCATCAGTGGTGTGCTCCCTGCATACAGGGATCCAAGCCGCCGTGTGTGAAACAACTGGGATGAGGATCAGCACCTCCAACTTTTGTTCCAACTGAGGCCGTGGATTTCCTTCTCTGGGTTGGGAGTGAGGTTCTGCCGCAAGTGGAGGAGCTCAAGTATCCCTTTTTTTATTCACAAGTTTCAATTCAATCCAGTTTATTTCTATAGCTCCAGGTCACAACAGAAGTTGTCTCAGTGCACTGAACACAAACATTCACATACTCAAAAAGCCATTCAGTAAAAGTTATTTATCTAAGGAAGCAGCAGATTGTGTTAAATCTTCACTTCGTTGCAGGCTTTCATCCTGAGCAAGCACAAAGGAGACAGTGGAAAGGAAAAACTCCCTTTAACAGGAAGAAACCTCCAGCAGAACCAGGCTCAGGACGAGCGGCCATCTGCTTCAACCAGCTGGGTTTGAGAGGAACAGGAAGTAGAAACAGACAAACACAGAATGACTGGTCCAGGAGTACTTTCTATAGGAGGAATAAAAAATATGTTAAGATAGAAATAATGACAAAAACTAACAGGTAGAGTAAGTAAACACAGCAGCAGAGTGAGAAAATGTGGTCAGTTTGTCCTCCAGCAGTGTAAGTCTATAGCAGCATAACTAAGGGTTAGCTCAGGAAACCCAAGCCGACCTTAACTATAGGATTGATCAAAAATGAAAGAATTAAGCCCAGTCTTAAAACTGGACAATGTGTCAGCCTCACAGACAGAAACTGGAAGTTAGTTCCACAAACTCTAGGAACTAAAAGTAAACCTGTTGTCTGAGAGCAAAGTGCTCTGTTAGCAAAATATGGAACAATAATATATGTAATATGAGATGGAGCTACTGTAAGTTGTTGAGAGCTTTGTAGGTTAGAAGTAAGATTTTAATTATATTCTGAATCTGACAGGGAGCCAATGGAGAGAAGCTAAAATTGGAGATGTGATCTCTCCTACCATCTTTCATTAAAACTCTGACAGCAGCATTTTGAGAGACCCCAATCTTGTCAGCTGTCTTCCCTATTCACTGAAGAGTTTTGCGGTCCGATGCAGTGCAATTCCCGAACAGATGGAATGATCGACTGAGTCAAAAGTTTTTGCTAAAGCAATGAATATTGCTGCACAATAATGTTTGGAGTCCAATGCAGACGTCATATCATTGATACATTTTAAAGTGGCCATAATGCAACCATACCCTGAACAAAAGCCAGTTTGGGTTCTGGACAAAATATTAAAATCCTTCAGATATTGTGTTAGCTGCTTATTCACCAGTTTTCAAAAACCTGTGACACATAGACCTATAACAGATAACATCGGCCTGATTCCCACCCTTAAAAAGAGGGCGAACAGTAGCAGCCTTCCACTCTGCAGGAATTTCAGCAAAGAAAGAAAGGTTAAAAGTACACACCAGTGGTGCCGCAATAAACGGAGCCGCCAACTTAAAAAATAATGGAGGTAACTTGTCCAGTCCAGCAGGTTTTTAGGGTCTAAAAAGATTATAGTTCCCTCTTGACCTCGTTCTCCGTGACTAAGTGAAAATAAAATTTCTGCAAAGGGGAACACAAGCCAGATGGCACCTGCTGCCTCTCAGCGAGAAGGTTGCCCAGTTCAAATCCCGACCCGGGGCCGTTCTGGGTGGAGTTTGCATGTTCTCTCTGCGCATGCGTGGGTTTTCTCTGGGTACTCTGGTTTCCTCCCACAGACCAAAAACATGCATGTTAGGCTAACTCTAAATTGTCCCTAGGTGTGAGTGAGAGAGTGAATGGTGGTTTGTCTCTATGTGTCCCTGTGATGGACTGGAGACCTGTCCAGGTGTCCCTGTGATGGACTGGAGACCTGTTTAGGGTGTCCCCCACCTCTCACACAGTGATAGCTAGATATGGTCACCAGTGACCCCCATGACCCGGAAAGGAAGAACCGAGTAAATATAATGGATGGATGGATGGATGGATTGGAACGTAACAGTTGAGCTATGTTCAGATAACACTTTATTTGGATCTATATCCAAACTGCCGTATACCATTTGGGGACCCCTAGAGTAGATTTTTTTTACCACAAAAGGTTTTAAACCAACACCTGTACCTTTATTGTTTTTATCTATAGATTTGTTAATTTATTACAAATAACTCAAGTAAAAATTGAATACAGTTCTGCTACACTCCTGATCCAATCACCTTTTTATATGTTTCTTCCGATGATCATGATCTGCCTGTAATCTTCTAACGTGCTCTGGGTTCTCCAGACTTTCTGAAGGTCTTCAGGTCTATCATGTGCTCAGAACCAGCTGCATCACCAGACGATGGTTCTTGTCCAACATCCAGAGGTGATCAGCATTTCAGCTTGATCTCAGGTGTAGCAGAGATATTGTTGCATTTTTTAATGGTTTTATCTCCACAACTGATCAACAATCCATGAAACTGGTCACATAAACAGGATAAATAACATCTAGTGCAGTTTGAGGAAAACAACTGATCTGTAAGTGCAACAATTCTGTCACAACAAATTACTGTAAATGTAGGTTGGAAGGTTTTTAGATTAAGTTCATATTTGAAGGAGATCGGCAGAAAGCTTTAGCTCAGAGACAGAACGAGCTGGAGGGAAGATGATGATGAGTTTTTGAAAACATGTTAGAACCTTTGAGAAGCATCTTCCTCATGAGCTTCATTAGAAACTGATTCCAGAACTCGTTCTCTTACGTTTAGCTTCATTACTTCTTCTTCTTGGGAACAATGTGTCACCTCCAAGTTCTGGAGAGGCATTTTCATCTGAATCAGTACGAATCCAACGAGTGGACTGACTCAGTCTCAGGAACCAAACCAGAGTTCAGAACCTGACTCAGGTCCAGGTCCCTGTTCGAGGTTTCCCTCAGAGATGTTCAGGTGTGTTCTCCCTTTCTGCGCTCAGTCGTTTCTTCTTCTATCCTCCACAGACCAACAAGGCGGTTTCTAAAGGAGACTTTCATCTGGCCAGCTCCAACTCCAAGCGGGCTCTCTTCCTCGCCGTGCTGTCGGTCACCATCGGGACAGGTATCTACGTGGGTGTGGGCGTGGCCCTCATTGCCTACCTGTCCAAGAACCACCAGTGGTAACGGAGATCACAGCTAGGCGGATTACCCATCAGCCCTTGCTGTGCTGCCATGAGACCGGACTCCACCTGAGAAGGTCCAGCAGGAGCCATGTGAAACACAAAGAAGCTTCAGTGTCTGTCTTTAAATAAAGGACAGTTCCGGTGTTTCCATCATCAGTGGTTCAGTTTGAGTAAACAAACACAATGTTGGTGCCGTTAAGCACTGAACCATGATCCAAAACCCTTTTCTTTCAACACGTTAACCTTTCAGAAGTTCTTCTCAAGCTGAAATACCAGAGCATGAATTCTGTGCAGAGGAGAAACGATGCTGTCAACATCTTACAGAAGAACTGCATCACGTTCACATGTCTGATCAGCCTCCAGATGTTTCAATCGTCTACGAGGGAAATAAAAAAGATTATTTTATTTTTAAAGCATCTTACTGTTTCACACAGGCGTACCAGTTTGGAGTGTTCCTTAAGAAAATTCTCTTTGTCCAACACATCAGGATTTCTGTTTTATTTGAATTTTACGTTTTTATTTTGTGTAATGTAAAAAAGTTGACTGAATAATGACGATCACTTCCTGTCTACAAAAAATGCAGATTTTTATTCAAACTTTTTTGTTTTTAATAAAAAAACAATAAAAGTGCTGATGACTCATCCTGATTTGTTTTGTAATCAAACATTTTCCAGAACATTAACTCTCAGCAGAAGAGCCTGGTACGGTCCAGCTGGAGTTCTGACCAGGTCCAAAGCTCCTGACAGTCTCATGCTCCGTGCAGCTTCTTTGGTTGGCAGATGAATTTAAATTATTTTTTGGGTCAGTACATAATTTAACTGTTTCTAGTCTTTATTCACGACGTTGTGGACGAGCTAAAGTTGTCGTTGAAGAGCGTCGCTGCCGAGTCCTGAAGTTTTCCTGCCCGTCCAAACGGATCAGGTCTAAAAAACAATCTACAGGAGTGACGTGAACTGTCTTAAAAACCTACGCTTCAGAGGAAATGTTTTAATAACGACTATCATGGTTGTGAGCCAGAGCAGGGAAGTGGTGGCACAGAGGCTAGAGAAAATGGGCCTGTGATCGGAAGGTTGCCGGTTCAACTCCCCGGACCAACAACATCAAAATGTGGGTGGAAAGGGCGACACAACCACACCTGCCCCACCCTGGGCCACTGAGCAAGGCCCTTAACCCCCACCATCTGCTCCCAAAAACATTCTTCTCTTGAAAATGAGTTCTACTGACTCAATGAGACTACCTGTATAAATAAAGGGTAAATAAAAATTAAAAGTAGAAGTTGCAAAACGCTAGCTTAGAGACAGAAATAGCAAAATGTTAGCAAATATCGAGACAAAGAGCCAGAAGTAGTGAAACTCAGCAGAGCAACAAAAGCAGCTGCAAATCAAACCCATTGTTGATCAGAAGCATAACTGGTGATTATTTGTTCAAAAACAGCTGAACAAGCCTGAAACAGCTAAAGAGAAGATGTAACAGGCTGAAGAACCTGTAAAGAGTTAAATATAAAGTTAAAACACACGTTCTCAAACAAGTGGACATTTAGAATCCTCTCCCAGCTGCACAGAGCTGAACAAAGCCTAAATCATCTAAAAGTGAGTGAGCTGATGCTGAAAGAGCCACCACAGATCACAGAAAACTGACACTAGTGGAAAGAAGATAATAATCAAAGGTTAAAATGAGCAGAAAACAGCAAAAATGAGTCAAAAACTGCTCAAATGAGCACAGAAGAAGCTGAAAAATTAAAAACGCTGTCCTCAGAATGATTTTGATTTTGTCAAATTGACAAAACTGAGCGATCACAGTGAAGAAGAAAATTCACAATTTAGATTCCTTTCATGTATACTAACATGAATTTAGTCATTACAAGTTCAACATTTGTCTGCACATTTAGTTTGGAAGCTAACTTTCCCCAGTTTATGATAAATGTTTGAACTTTAACTGGCAGGAAAACGTGTGGCAGAGGCTCTGAAATGTAACTGGACTTACTGGCCCTGAATCCAGTCAGGCTTTTAGAGCGTCATGCAGCCAAAACAACACGATCAAATCACTGCGTTATCGGGAAGTGTTCCCTCTGAATGGTAGGAGGGGTTTATCTGCTGACTCATCCTCTCATCCAGATGAGTCAGGAGGAGTGAGTCACCTGCACATCTAAGAACAAGTGAGACAAACCAGGACCATCGTGAATTTCAGAGAGGTAAATAAATGTTATCGTTCAACGTTAATGTGCCAGGAGGCCTTATCAGGACCAGACTGAGCTGAGACTTTAATATGTGACCTGTCCTGGCAAAATGAGTGAGAATGAGCCCTGGTTGCAGTGAAAATGTCTATTTGTTCTAGAACTGGCTCAAGGTGGCTGCATGTTGGAGTAGCTCTGCTACATTCATTCTGAGATATTGCTTTAGAAAACTTTAATTCCTCTTTTTCTGGACGTAAATTGCTTTTTTCAGATGATTATTTCCTCTGGGATCAGATGCTGTGCAGCTGGAAGGATTTTTACTGAAAACTTTTTATTTTTGGACATATGTTATGGCAACAAGGTGTTTATTTTACAATCAAGAGCAGCTGACTAACATCTTAAAAGCTCAAGTAACACCTCAACTACAGCTCAAAGTCCCAAATAAGTTGAAAAGGAGGTGTCATGGATGCATTCCCATCTACCTGGCAGCGGAGTTTGAGTACCTGAGCACTGAGATCCTGGAGCTGGCAGGAAGCACGGCTCATGACAGCAGGAGAACCTGGGTCATCCCCCAACACCTGCAGCTGGCTGACCTTTTTTTAAACCTTTATTTATACAGGTAGTCTCATTGAGTCACACAGACTCATTTTCAAGAGAGACCTGTTTTATTTTGGGAGCAGCTGGTGGGGGTTAAGGGCCTTGCTCAGGGGCCGAAGGTGGGGCAGGTGAGGATGGAGGCAGGTGTGGGTGTTTCACCTTTTCCACCCATATTTTGATATTGTTGGTCTGTGGAGTCGAACCGATGATCTTCCGATCACAGGTCCACCTTCTCTAACCTCTGTGCCTCCATCTAGAGGCAAAAACCTCAGCATCTAGAACAACTCTTTAATGAAACCAGGATGATGAGTTAGAACATTTCATTTGCCTTTGGGATTAATATTTTTGAACTGAATTGAAAATATGTAGAAATATGTCTGTAATGTATTAATGGTTAGAGAAAGGAGAAACACAAACTGATCTGTGTGGCCATTTTACTGAATTGTTTTATGAAAGATTGTTTGGTCTTAACAGAATCATATCTACCCATACTTCAACTGTGCTCCATAGCCATTTTGATACCCGGTTGCTGAACGTTGTGGACATTTAGCTATCACCACATAAAATACCAATAAAACTTCTTTAATAAGTTTGTAATTAAAAGTCAATAAAAATAGCATGTGGAGCATAAAAAGATTAAATGCTGACCGTAAACACCGAAAGTACTCTACTTGTTTGCATTTGTAATTGTTTCTGTCTTAACATGTTTTTTGTCTCTCCTCCTATTGAAACTACATCTCCTTCTTTCTCCTTCCTGTTCCTCTCAAACTCCAGCCGGTCAAAGCAGATGGCCGCTCGTCCTGAGTCTGGTTCTGTTGGAGGTTTCTTCCTGTTAAAAGGGAGTTTTTCTTTTCCACTGTCTCCTTTGTGTTTGTTCAGGATGGGAGACTGTGATGAAGTGAAGATTCAACACAATCTGCTGCTTCCTTAGACTAACTTTTAGTAATTATATTTTTTTATGCATGTGAATGTAGTATGTCATATACTGGATATATTCATACATTAAGACGGGTTCTTCATTTTTCTGACTGTGTAACATGCGTGCATTGAGTTTAACAGAAATGTAACGAGAGACGTTATTTATCTTTGACCCATCAAAATGAATGCGGTCATTTATTTGCAGAATCAAAGTTTAACATCAAACATTTACATTAATTTGGCAAAATATGAAAACAATAACATGGCTAGTTTCACAGGAAGTGGGACAATACAGCGATTGTCCTCACTTCTCAGCAGAACAGCAGACATCAATCACACGGCGGTGATTGAGAACTTTGCTTCAGACATTTCTAAAATATCTGTAATGATTTTAGGAGAAAGGAGAGTTTAAAGATGGAAAATGGAGATTTATCTTACAGAGAGATGTGTGAGGGAATTTATCTGTTTGACCAGAAACGTGCACGCTCCTTCAGTTCTCAGCTTGGTCACGGTACGCTTGGTCGAAATAGAACTTTTACCTGGTTGATGATAGATCAGGTCGGCGTGAAGTCCTTCTTTTGACTCTTTCAGCGTCTCCGTTGAGAACAGCTAAATTACTTCGAGAGTCGTGCGAGGTTATCCAAACAGAAGTTATAATTCCCAAAATCGTCCCTGCATTCTGGATTCAAGAACTCTGAACTCCTTCAGAGCTCTACTCCTTTAAGCTCTTTTCATCTCGTCGCGTCTCTCTTCGACAGAGACTCGACACAGACATCAGACCTTTTTTTGACACTTCTCCATGAGCTGCATCCGCGCGCGTTGAACTGGGAAGTTGCCACATTTAAATGGGTCGACTTCTGGTTCATTTGAGAGCTTTCTAATTGGTGGATGGACCAGAACAGAGGTGTGGTTTGTGATGTAAGGTGTTATGAAAATTCAAGGATAGAGATTAAGATTGTTTAAAACAGACAGAAAGATTATTGGAGAAAACCAGACTTCGTGGAGTCAAACTCTCCTGTATCTTCTGTAAAAGTTAAACATGACATTTCTTTTCAGTAAACTTTTTAGTTGACCGAAATCTGAACTTTAACACACTTACAAACTTGCTCATTGAAGACAGAAAAATCAAGAAATGCATATTAACCTGATTTCTTCTTTGAATGAGGAATAAAAATCATTACTTACTGTTTATGTAAATAAAAATGAGTAGTTCTCTTCAACCTGTAAACATTGTTCGAACTAACACAATTTGATTATTAAACATTTGTAAAATAGTAATGATCATAGAGAATTGTCTTTTCCACTTGATTAATTCAAGAAAGAAAGTCTCAGGATGGGTCAAACTGTATTTCTGGATCAGATCAATGAAATAACAGTTTCT